TTTCTTCTATTATAAATAGAGGGAGTAACCCCTATTTTGTGATAACTAGTATTCACAGATTTTTTACAGTTGCAAAATGAATAAATAAGTTTTTCACAATTTGTGGGCGAAGATTTCGTAGTAGAAATCATTCTCTTATTTCTTTGATTTTGTTAAACTCTTTCTTTCTTTCTCGTTTTTCATTAAAGTTGTTGTGCATAATCTTTCTTGAGATCATGATTTATTAGGAATTCGCAAAAAAATTTAGGTTAATTCCAACATCTGGTATCTAGAGCTCCGATTGTGATTCGAGGAAAGAAAATCATGATGGCGCTGAATCATCCAAACAGACATTTTCCAATGAACCTTACAATTCTCAAGAACAATAATTATGAGAATTGGTACAAGTAAATAAAGGTGATTTTATGTTATAAATATATTTTGGATCTTGTGAAGGGAGGAGTAACACGGCTTACAGAAAATACGACGGATCAAAAAAAGGTTACATACAAAGAGTTGAAGAAGAAAGATTATAAAGCTCTCTTTATAATTCATCATTGTGTTGATCCAGATAACTTTGAAAAAGTTAGTGATGTAGAAGCATGGGAAATCTTGAAGAAATTGTTTGGAGGCGCAGAGAAGGTGAAAGAGGTGAGGTTACAAACTCACAAAAGGACCTATGAATTGCTTCAGATGGAAGAAAGTGAAAGGATAACTGATTTCTTCACTAGGGTTGCTAAACTGGTGAATCAAATCAAGGTATGTGGAGAAGTGTTGACATCGAGATCATTTGTTGCAAAGATCTTGAGGTCATTGGCTCCAAAGTTCGACCATGTGGTAGTAGGCATAGAAGAGTTGGAAGACTTATCAGTATTGACGAAGGAAGAGCTTCAAGGGACACTTAAGTTTAATGAACAAAGGATGGCTGGAAGAGTTGCAGGAAAGTTAGAGTGTGATATGGATTTGCAGGCGCGATTAGAAAAGGAAAAGAAAGGAAAAGGAGGTTAGAATGGCAACAAAGGAATATGATGCTACCATAATCCGTCTGGTTGAAATCAGCAAGAAGGAAACTGATTGAATCAGAGAAAACCATGGAACCAAGACAACCAAAGAGGTGGTGCTGCAAGTAGAGGAAGAGGTGCTAGTCGAAAACCTGACAAAAGTCACATTCAGTGTTACAATTGTCAGAAGTATGGTCACTATTTTAATGATTGTCCATAAAAGAAGAAGAATCAAGAAACTGATGCAAAGCTTGCAAAACATGAAGAAGAAGAGATGTTGTTGATGGTTACAATAAGAGATAAGAAAGATTTCAGCACCAATGGTACTTGGACTCAGGATGCTCATCACACATGACTAGAAGGAAAGATTGGTTTGTATACATAAAGCCCTCAATTAAGAACATGGTGAAGTTTGTAAATGACAATATTCTAGCAGCTGAAGGTATTGGTGATGTTCTGATTATGAGAAAAGATGACAGAAGTGAGTAATTTCTAATGTGTTGTACATACCAATCATGGAGATTAATTTGCTCAGCATAAGACAATTGATCGAAAAGAACTACAAGGTGTCGATCGAAGATAAGATGATAAGAGTTCTCGACTCAGGAGGAAGGTTAATCTTGAAGGCCCATATGTCTCAAAATAGAACCTTAAAGATTGAACTTAATGTAATGGAACATAAGTGTCTTGCAACTACAGTCAGCAGAGATAAATGGATATGGCATTATCGACTTGTCCATCTCAACTTCAAAGACATCAGATATTTGAAGAGAAGAAATATGGTTTCAAGATTACCAAAAATAGACATTCCAAGCGAAGTGTGCGAAGGATGTGTTCAGGAGAAATAACACAAGAATATCTTCAACAAGGATGCAGGAAGAAAGTCGAAGGCAATTCTCAAAGTCATATAATTTTATGTAAATGGTCCTATCTAGGTGGATTCTATTGGATGTAACAGATACTTTGTTACGTTCATAGATGATTTCAATCGAAAACTGTGGACTTACCTGATCATGGAGAAAAGTGAAGTGGTCGAGGTATTTTCCAAATTCAAATTTATGGTCGAAAGACAGAGTGGTCGAAAGCTAAATATTCTGAGGATTGATGGTGGTATAGGGTATGTGTCGAAAGATTTCGATGCATTATATGAGAAAGAAGTGATTATGCACGAGCTGGTGTCACATTACACTCCACAGCAGAATGGAACTGCAGAAAAGAAGAATAGAACCAGCATGAATATGGTGAGAAATATGTTGAAAGACAAGCATCTACCTAAAGATTTATGGGGAGAGACTGTGTCAACAATAACATACATCTTGAATAGATGTCCGACGAAGAAGTTAGAAGGAATCACGGCAGAAGAATGTTGGTATGGTGTCAAGCCTAGCCTAACTCATTTTAAGGTGTTTGGATCTATAGCATATAGACATGTGCTAAATCAGTTGAGAAGAAAACTTGATGACAAGTCGAGTCAAATGATCTTGATAGGATATCATTTGACGGAAGGATACAAGTTGTTTGACCCAGTGAACAAGTAAGTGGTGATCAGCAGGGGCGTGATCATAGATGAACTTAAGGAATGATATTGGACTGAAAATGTTAATAAGGATTCAGTGAGACTCTTATGTGAAGAACCAGCTAGTGAATTCGAAAGAGAAGTTCGACAAGAAGAAGTCAGAGGTGAAGCAGGCCCGAGAAGACCTCAATGAACAAGGTACATGCCTGCAAGGTTGCAAGAATGTGTGCTTACATCAGATGATGTGGTCAATGAAGAAGGTGAGATGGTACATTATGCTTTCTATACAGATGTCAAACCAATCAATGTAGCTGAGGCATTGAAAGATTTGAAATAGATGAAAGCAATGAATGAGGAACTAGAGTTCATTGAAGTCAACAACGCTTGGTCACTTGTTAAATTGCCTCAAGACAAGAAGGAAATAGATGTGAAGTGAGTATACAAGGTGAAGTTGAATCCTAAAGGAGAAGTAACTCGACACAAGGCAAGACTTGTAGCAAAAGGATTTCTTCAGAAAGAAAGAATTGATTGACGAAGTTTTTGCAGCTGTTGCTAGAATCGAAACAATAAGGTTAGTTGTTGGTCTAGCAAACATGAAAAGTTGTCACACATGTCAAATGAGTGTGAAATGTGCATTCCTGAATGTCCCTTTAGAAAAAGAAGTTTATGTCGCACAACCACCTGGGTTTGTGAAACAATGCGAAGAAAGAAAGATGTACAAGTTGCATAAAGCCCTGTATAGACTTAAGCAAGCTCCAAGAGTTTGAAATAAGAAGATCGATAGATTTCTAAACGAGAAGAAATTTGTGAAGTGCACGACTGAGTATGGAGTACATGTAAGGAGAAACAATATTGAGTTGCATATACTATGTCTCTATGTCGATGACCTGTTGATAACAGGAAGTTGCAAGAAGGAGATCGAAGATTTTAAAAATGACCTAAGTGAGGAGTTTGAAATGCCAGACTTGGTAAATCTCTCATATTTCCTTGGTATCGAATTCTACAAGAGTGACAGAGGTTTGATGATGCACCAAAAAAGATATGCAGGCGAAATACTCAAGAGATTTGAGATACAAGATTGCAACCCAACTTCGACTACAGCTGAGTCTAGATTGTAACTGTCGAAAGATTCAAATTCAGATGATATCGACCTAACCTAATATAGAAGACTTATTGGGTCACTTCGATACCTTTGTCACACAAGGTCTGACTTAGCATACAGTGTGGATATGGTAAGTAGATTCATGCAGAAACCAAAGGTATCAGACCTAACAGCGACGAAGGGGATATTAAGGTATCTGAAAGGAACTCTCGACTATGGCATTTTATTTCCTGCGATTGATGAAGGAAAAGAATGCAAGTTAGTGGGATACACCGACTCAAGTTGGTGTAGTGGTGCTGAGGATAGAAAATCCACAACTGGCTATGTGTTTATGCTAAGTGGTGCACCTGTTGCTTGGAGTTCGAGAAAGAAGCCAATAGTGACATTGTTGTCATGCGAAGCAGAATACATAGTTTCTCTTTGTACATGTCAAGCAAAGTGGATGATAAACCTAGTCGAAGAGATTACAGCGAAAAGTCATAAAACAATTACCATAAAGATCGACAACATGTCAGCTATCAACCTGACAAAGAATTCAATAGCACATGGACAAAACAAGCACATTTAAATGAGATTGCATTATCTTTAAAAGCAGGAACCAGAAAGAAAGATAAACTTAAAACACTGCAGAAATGAGAATCAGATTGCAGATATCATGACGAAAGAAATGCAAGTCAAAGTGTTCCAAAAGTTAAGATCTATAATGAATATACTTAGCTTAGACACAATAAATTAGATGATGTGTTAAAATTATAATTCTTTGTGTCAAAACAATATAACTCGATAGAAATAAGAATTAGTTGAAATTAACCTAATGTATTTGTGTGTGTCAAATTATTTAAATGTCAACGTATCAAAGCAAATTGTTTGACACATAATTTCGACTTGGACATAAATTAATAATTTTAAGCTTCTATAATTCTAAACTTTCTTTTATTATAAAAAATTAAAAAATAGAGAAACAAACTCATATTTTATAATAACTAGGATCCACATATATTTTTTCTTCAATTTTTCACCGAATGTGGACAGAGATTCCACATATAAAATCATTCTCTTCTTCCTTTAATCTTTTTAAACTCTTTTCTTTCTTTAATCTTTTTAAACTCTTTTCTTTCTCTCTCGCTCGATTCTTTCTTTCTCCATTTTCATTGAGAATAATCTTTCTCAAGAGATCAAGATTTATTAGAAATTATAAAAAAATAATAATAGAGATGAACAAGCTTTTCATTATTATTTACTGATATGAATTATACAATAAGTGCAAGTTACTTAACCGATAACAAAAGCTTCATAACAGTTTTTCTAACTATTATAGAAATTAGTTAGTTTCAGTTATGGTTTTGGCAAAAGACTGCCTGATTTTTCCTCCTCCTTATCACATTTAACACAAATACACCCTCTAATCAATGCACACTGATTCAGAATCCTCAACATCGTCTTCAACATCATCTTCCACTTCAACACTAGTTACATCTTCCACAACAGTACTGGTTATATCTTCTCTAGTAGCAGACATGCTAATGCTTGAAGCTGATGAGCCAACTATTTCCTCCACACCAACACCATGTGTCAGTATAGTCTTTCTCTTATCTCTGCTAAGTCTCAATTTCCTCAACAACTCAGAAACATCACTCTCATCACCTAATAACTCTCCATCTTGTAACTCTTTAAGTTCTTCACTTGTTACACCGTTACTCACCCTTTGATCACTGTAAAACTCTGGCGTGACTAGAAAAATGAGTGGCCTATACCAACATAGGAGAAGCATGAGTAGCAAAATGTACACATACAATGAAACCCAAACATAGAAAGTCCACTTCCAATTCCTGATTAACTCTTTTGTCCACGGTAGGTGAGAGTTAAGAACAATCTCAGCTTCATATAGCTGTGGAAGAGATGAAGTTCCTGCTCTTGGATGTAGGGTTAATCTTACAGCATTGCTTCTTTGATTCACTTCCTTGTACCTCAGTATTTCCACATTGATTTTCTGTGTCTCAGCTGATATTCCTAGTACCAAAGGCAAACCCATCATAACTGTCCTCGCAAGCCGAATTGGCGAGCTTCGAAACCGTAACATGCATGGCTGGCTTGATTTTGCTATCACATTTCCATTTACTGATACGAGTTCTGCTGTCAACTGCAAAACATATCTTATTATCTCACGAAAAGAGAACAAAAAGCTACACAGAACCTCCGAAAACTTAAGACGGACCTGGAACCTAAATCAAGTTTATACATGTATAATTCAATGAGATTTGAGAGACAAAAATTTATACCTGAAACACTCCAAGGTCCCTGTTGAAATCAGATTCAGGCATCAAGAGTGACAAAGAAACAGAAAATGTGTGACCAAGTGGAACACGTATGTGTTTTTTCTTAATATACCCTCCGGCAGCACTAACTTCACCGCTAAAGGAAAAAACAGCTGAAGGGTGGGTTTCAGTGTAATCAAAATGCAAACTTTCATGAACAATCAGAGGCTCCTCAACCCAGAACCGAACCAATCCAACACCCACCACAGAAGCTAAAATCAGAAGTAAAAACAGAATCATGCACACATATGCAGCACTCAGAAAACATAGCCCCAATTTCTTCAGCAATACTGTGCTAGTATAAGCTATTTGTGAAGGAGCGTTGTCTCTGGTTTCCTGACTATGGTGGTAGGACTCAGATGTCAGTGTTAAAAGAGAGTAGAAAGGGGAAAAGAGAGAGGCCATGTTGTTGTGGATTAAAGTCTGCTGGGGTAGGCAAAACAAAGGAGTGCTTTTGGTTTTCATCTATGGAGATGGATAGTGAAGGAGAAAGGAGATGTATGAGACAGGTGTTTTTGCATGCTGAGACAGAACACAAACGTGTCGTTTGCATGAGAGCAAGCCCGTAATGCCGTGGCAATCTGCATGACAAGGGGAAACATGTTGATATAATAATCGCATCATCTTCTTATCTTAGTTTATTTATTATTATTATTATTATTATTATTATTATTTTGGGTCCACTAAAGGTGACATTTTCTCTGGGCTTCAATTTTGAGACGTGGGCTTTTCTTTTCTTGGCTTTCTTAGTGTATTATTATTATTTTTTAATACAATTTTTTTTATATTATCCATGATTTGAATTTTTTTTCCTAAATATCCTACTTTTTTTTTAAAAAAAAAATCTAAAATAACTCATTTTTTAAATTATTTCTTAAAATATTCTACTTAGAAGGCGTCAGATGGATTAGCGACCCTTTTGTAAGATAAAGAGGTGTCACTAATTAGATTGGAAACACCACATGGTGTTGTCAATCCAATTGGCGCCACAGTGTAAAGTTTATAGTGATGTCGCCAATTCATTTGGAGACAGGGTGCAAATTGAAATTTTACTATAAATAGAGGTGGTATGATCATTTATTTCCACATCTCTTATATTCTTGTATTACTGATAATATCGTCGCTGCTACGAGAAAATTATTTATTCGAGAGAGAAGCCTCCGATGGAGATACTCTTCTGAAACATCCAAAGTTTCAAGCAACTATAAATGGAGCTGAATCGTTGGTTAGATGAAGACATACCTGAAGGAGAAAAATTAGAAGTATTGAGAGACACGATGTCCTGTGTAGGTGGGTTTCGCGTTAAGACTAACAAGGATGCAAGGGAAGTGATGTTTGAACAAAATGATATCATTTTGATTGTTGTAATTAGTTAGAAATGTTGTGTTTATCTGTTTTGATATTTGTTGTATGTGTTGTTTGCTGTTAACTTTGTTGTAATAAAAAATCATTAATATGTCATAATCTAAGGTTACAAGAACTGAAAGTAGAAACTAAATTATGAAGAGGTTGCTTCGACATTGGAATAATTTTCTCTATTGTGTCCGGGCTGACGATATATACTACATAATCTTATCATTTTATCAACCGTATCGATTTTTGTTCTTATAGTCGTAACCATTTCAGCTGAGACACACACTTTTTTTTTCGGCCGGTGAATGTACCATGACGTTAAAGGCTGTGTACATGTTACTCAGGTTGCGTATTGATGGTAAGGCGGTCAATGAAAAAAAATTTGATAATTCAATTTGTGAGAAACTTTTAGGTGCCCACTTGTTGGATTATAACCCAAGAGGCCAAGGTATCTTACTTTCACGTCTCAGGGCATATTACAGTAGTTTAATATTAGATGAAAATAATACCGAAGAAATGAAAATAATAAAATCCAGGTGTTATCTTATGCTTTTACTTGGTTCATTTTTATTTCCCGAAGGTACTGGTTCTACTATGCACGTTATGTATTTACCCTTTTTAATAAACCTAGATAAAAACAAGAGAATATAGTTGGGGTTTCATTTGTTTGTCTTATTTGTATAGCTCTCTGTGTAAAAATGCAACGAAAAACACATCTACATATTTCATGTGTTGTATCCATCCAAATTACACTTTGAGCGATTTTGTGTCAATATAATTGATCATCCATGCCATGACCATTGTGTTGCAACAATCCAATACAAGATAGACTATTAAAATCTTCAGGTCTTGTTAGGGTTCATCAAGAAAACTCATTTTGTTCTTGGATTGTAGGGATATAAGTATAAATATGCTCTAAGAATGATACTTTTGATTGAAATTCTGGCACTCTAAAACATGTTAATACTGATGTCCTCACATCAGAAAATAATGTCAAGACAGAGGTTACAAGATCTGTTTGTCTGACAGAACAAATAAACCAGACTGAAAAATAAACTACAGACATAAAAATAACACAATCAAATAGTAACCCAGTTCGGTGCAACATCACCTACATTTGGGGGCATCCAAGCCAAGAAGGAAATTCACTATGATAACATTAGTTCAAAGTTAAACTCCCTCATTTACAACTTCTCGCCTAATCACTACCTTGTGCAACTTCTACCTAGAAACCCTCTAGATATGAGATACCCCTCTCACTTCCTAATCAGTCACAATCCCAGTGACAATACCTCAAGAAACCAAAAACAAGAAGAACATTCTTCCAACTACAATACTCGGTTTTGCTTAAAAGCTTCAACCAAGAACAATACACACTTGCTTACAAGCTTTAGAGTGAATAATTAACAATCAGTCTACCACAATGCATCAGAAGATACAAAGGGTAACATACAATTAACAAGAACAAGACTCTCAAAACCTCCCCTTATTTTACAAAAGTGAAAGTCGTATCTTCATTAGGTTTATGCCTTCTTTAAATAGCCTTCAGACCTTGTGGGCTTGGGTTGTTGAGGTGCAATTCGTCAGGAATCAGCTTGGAATCATAAGCATAATCTCCTGCACAAAAATATGAGTAAAATACAAACTTTCCTAAAAAGGCTCAAGGAACCTTTTTATGAAAACAAACAGAATTTGTCATAACATAAACTCTCACAATATACTCCCATGAAAGTCTCCCATGTGTGCATTAGAACACACTCAAAAATCACACTACAAATACCAAAATAGTCATGCCCTAAATTTCTGGTATAACATATCCTGGAACATGTCACAACATCATACAAAACATGATATCGAACTGTCATGGCAGAACATCTGTTTTAATATCTATCTAACAACATGTTTTTTTACCAAAATTCCGCCAATCCAAAAAACATAGAACTTACAATCCCCCTTATGGGAAATTTTGGCTAAAACAACCTTAGCACAACAACTCTGAAGAAGAGGAATAATACCACAAAACCTACAAACAGAAAGATATCAGAGAAAAAGTGCAGCTACAGACCATTAGATGTTACAACTCCTTCAACCTCTAAAAATCTCCAGTGATCAGATGTCAAGACATATGGTCTGACATCACATCAACGCAGCTTCAACACAACAACCTCAGACAGGCCCATTTCTCCCCCTGTCATAAATACCCAATATTCCCCTTAAATGGGAAAACCCAAATCGCCTGACATCCAAACCTCAACTGCCTCAGTTCACACGTCCCTCTCAAGCGGAAAACCCAATGCACAAGACATATAAGCATGAACTATCCAAATTCATGCACTAGAAATGCATACAGCGAAAGCCACACATTAGAAACACATACAGCAGAAGCCACATATATTACTCAAAGGATTAGAGTAATACATTACCATAGAGCATATGCGGTTCTCCATAACCACAACATGTCAAGACATGTGATCTTACCTCAGTGACAGCAGCACAAGCATGACAGGTTATCATGCTCCCCCTAAATAGATACATTCATCCCAACAACAAAATACCACTCTTTCTAAGCAATAGTAAAATACAACACATGACATGAAGTCATGACATCTGATCCAACATCAGAAACAAACACAGCTAAAACAACCTAACACTTTACTCCCCCTTTTTAGCTAAAAATTGACAAAAATAAATCAGATTAAATGTAAACAACATAAATGGAAACACACGGTAGCAAAGGCTACAAACAGTACTAACAAGAACAAAACAGATTGAAGTAAAAAATTGTCAAGGAATTATTACAACACAAACTTCAAAAAAAAACAAAAAAAAAAACAAACCAAAAACGTTAACTATGGAGTCGAGAATCCACTCCAACCTCCTGAGTTAATGAAATTAATCCAATCTTCATCACCATCCTCGTCAGAGTCATGGTTTTTCTTGAAGGGCCTCATTATTGTCACATATGCCTTCCTTGTCCAAGATGCTCCAATAGATGAGGCAACAGATGTCCCAACTTTAGACTCTGCCTTCTTCGAATCAGCACTTTTAACATTCTTGGCATCCAAAACACCAGCCTTTGTAGCATCAGAAGTTTTGGAATTTTGGCTCATGATGAAACACAACTGGGTACACGGCTGAAACTGTAATTTTTGAAGCAAAGAATAACAACCTTACTTATAATGCCTGGACAGTCAAGAATAAGATTGTGGAACGAAGGGAAATTATCCTGGGTAACAGAGTCATTCTCTTTTTTCGCTTTCCAACTTTAACTGCAGTATTTGAAATGACATTTTCCATGTCATTGGAAAACCGTTTTTCTTGAGAAACACATGCACCAAACAAAAGAAAACGTGACATGTTTCATGCCCCCTAAACTGTAGATGTTATAACTCTTCTTTAGTACAAACTCCCAAAACACTGCTGACAATATGATGACCATTCACAATGATGTTGTCCAGCTGTACAGGGAGAAACCTTGAAGCTTCTAATTGTGACTAGCTTGTCACAATACAATGTCATAACATCCTGGCTGACATTGTAAACTATTAGCCTCCAACTCACATTGGAGCAACAACTCCCTCAGCATAAATTATATTCTTGCTGATCCAAAAGACATGGTTGTATCTCAATGAAGAAACACCCGTAGATCAACTCAGAAGCACACATAGCGGAATTAACTCAGAATCCAAACAAGAACACCACACAGTGATAACAAAAACTAACTCCTTCTGGATTACATAACTTATAAACTCAGTAAAGTGCAGCTGAACAGCTAAGCACAATGTCAAGACATTTAGTTCGACATCCCAGAGCTACCAGAACAAGACAAGCTACATGAGAACATGTAAGCTTTATACAAATTGTAACCTTGCAGCTACAAATCAGACAGGTATACAGTTCTCCCTGATGACCACAACCTACTACAACAAAAAATTATCCCTAACCAAAACATCATTGTCCTCAAGGACATACCCATGCAATCACGAACTGTCCTAGTTCATATATCAAAGGCACATCCATAGCAAAAGAAGGAAAGGCCTAAAAAACACATA